AAACTGATTATATCTGATTACTTTTTGATTAATTTTAAGTTTCTAATGGATATTTTCAGCTAAATCATTTTCAAGCATTTATACTAAGCAGGTGTGACCTTACAGTGGCTCTGTTTACTGTTAGAATTTCAAAATCTTTCATCACTTGAATTAAGATTATATTAATTTCATTTTAAAGTACAGCCACCACAAAACCAGACCTTATAGCAAAAAAGTGTTTACTGTTGTTACAAAATCAAAATTTTGCATATTGTATAATTATTTACAACTCTTCATTAATAAATTACACTACATAATGTAGTATCATCAGTAACTATCATGAACTAATAGTAATTACCATAGTATACTTTATATATATATATACCTCCTCTCCCTCAGTCATCTTCAGATCAAGAAAGTTTAGGCCCGTGCACACCGAGACGTTTTTTGCTCGACGTTTAACACCTCGCGACTAAATAACGGGCGTCAATGTGATCGTGCACACCAACGCGCAAAACGGCAGGCGCAAAAGTGCCATTTTGAAAAAAAAATGACTCATGTTTTTTTGTTTTGACGCGCCACGTCAAAATCTTCTCCACCAATCAGATCGCCACTTTCGTTCACGTGCACGGAGCTGCTGAAGTTACAGTAAACAGCACTTGGAGGCGCTCAAGCGCTAAACTGTCAATGCAAGCGCAAACTGAAGAAGATGCCCAGAGGTGATATGAACGTGGAGCTGCAGCTTGAACCATCCATGCTTGTTCGAGTAACCAGTAACTTTAACAACAAACGTGTGAACTTCCTTTCCTCCTCTTCTTCTGTTTTATAAGCGGGTGTCAGAAGCTTAATGTTGTTAAGCGCTATCTAACGTCAAAAGAGTGATTTTGCATACTCTTCAGCTTGACACCAGTGAAAAGCGATTGGGTTTAAATGCGGGAAAACGTCTCGTAAAACGCTGACGATTAACGCAAATGAAAAGCGTCCCGGTGTGTAGGAGCCTTTTCTCGTGTTAGCCTAATTGGCTGGCGACGTCACTGGAGCGAGAGGTGGCAGTAATGCACCATAAAGTTTGTTGTCAAGCACTGTAAAACAGGAAGAAGAGGAAATCGTCATTCTCGCCATCATATGGATTTACTTTCATCGGCTAGACACTGGCTTCACAGCTCTGTGAATGTCAGTCCTGTCACTTAATGATCCGTGATCGGTAAATGTAGATTGTGTGGACGCTACTGCGCTACTTGCTAAAAATAATAGCTACGCTACTGAAAAGCTATTTTGATATATAAAAATGCCACACTACTGAGAAATGTAGTTAAGCTAGTAGCGTCACTACTTGTAACGATGCTACTGCCAAACTCTGTTAATGTGATAAAATTGCTTTGGCCAGAGGAGTCTGTTGGTACCCTGAATTTCACAAATCAATAATTTTGTGAGTCGATATATATATTTCGATATGAAAGGGGTTGTTTTTATTTCTGTACACTCACGATAACAACAAAAAAAAAAGGCTAAAGAAAGGCTAGGTTACACACCTGCAGATGCTTCCTCGGATTCGACATTGAAGCCTTTGATGTCAAAAGTATTGTAACAGCTGCAAAACTATTTTTGCACTGAACTGTTTTTTGTGTGCCCAGGGTGAAATTATTTTAAAATTTCCAGCAATGAAATGCATTTTTAGGACAACGCAGTGGCGCAGTAGGTAGTGCTGTCACCTCATAGCAAGAAGGTTGCTGGTTCGAGCTTCTGCTGTGTCAAATGGCGTTTCTGTGTGAAGTTAGCATGTTCTCACTGCGTTCGCGTGGGTTTCCTCCGGGTGTTCCAGTTTCCCCCACAGTCCAAAGACATGCGGTACAGGTGAATTGGGGAGGCTTAAATTGTCCGTAGTGTATGAGTGTGAATGAGATTGTATGGATGTTACCCAGAGATAGGTTGCGGCTGAAAGGGCAACCAATGCGTAAAAAGGGGCTGGATAAGTTGGCGGTTCATTCCCCTGTGGCGACGCCGGATTAATAAAGGGACTAAGCTGAAAAGAAAATGAATGAATGAAATGCATTTTCTTGTTACTTTTCTTTTTCTTCTTTCTTCCTTTTCTTCTTCATCTTTTTCCTTTTTCTTCTTTTTTGTTAAAATTCTTTTTGCTCCTTTTTTTCTTTTTCATCACTTCTTTTTTCAGTTCTTTTACTTTTTTCTTCTTTTTCTTGTTATTTTTCATTTTCTTCTTTTTCGTTCATTTTCTTTTTTCTTTGCTTTTTGCCTTTTCTTGTCCTTTTCTATTTTTTTCCTTTTTCTTCTTTTAATCCTTTTTTTCCTTCTTGGATAAGTTGGCGGTTCATTCCGCTGTGACAACCCCGGATTAATAAGGGGACTAAGCCGAAAAGAAAATGAATGAATGAAATGCATTTTTATCACTCGCCATGGTGACAGCTCTCTGAATGGTTGTAGTAGCCTAATGCTTTCAGCGGCAAAGAGGATTAACGTAATTGGTAGACTTGGTGCGCCGTAATCAAACCGGAAAACCAATCAAAAGCATCAGAATATAGCAGCACTTTAATAAGTGGCCTTAATTAAATTACTTAACAGTGTTACATGTAACTAGTTACTCCCCAACACTGGTCTCCACGATGTAGTAGTACAACAAAAAGTACAACATACTTAACCACTTATAATTTGGTTATTAAACTAGTTTGCTTGTGAAAATAAGCCAGATAATTCACAGTGTTCGCAAATATTTCAAAATAGTAGCCAGCTTCATTGGGTTTCATCTTGATTTGTATCATTTGCTTAGTTCTGTCACTTCAGTTTTGTTCTCGTGCTCCGATTCATAGTTGAACGGCCAATCAGAGAGCTCTCTTACAGACGGCTGATGGCAGTTCTACTTGCTGAACTGGACACCCTGACATGGGGTAACGTGTGGAACATATCAATCAAACTAGCCTGACAGACATTCACAAACAGCCCGACACTTTCCAGTGGCCAATCGTCCACTTGGTGTGTCCAGGACTTGACAATCTATAGTCGGTGAACTATGGAAGTGACTAAAGAACCGATTATCAGGATCACACCAGAGCAGTGTGAGAGACTAGTGATATCCTGTGGCAGCAGATGTGCTAAAGTCAGTCAATGCAAGGGCCTGTACACTTCAAACGCATTCTTGACTATTGTAACCTCAGAAAGGTTTGTTTTCATCTGTATTCACTAGCTACATTTGTGTCCATCTATTTCTATGTGCATTTTAGACAATGATGCAAGATGCGCATCAATTTTTCAAAATGCGCATAAAAAACGTAATCGCAAAACTGAGTATAAACTGTCGGATAAACCTACAGTTTGTATTCGATAAGAAAAGATGCACATAAACTTTGATAGAAAAACTTTTACCAAACAAATTACAGTATGTGATTTAAAAAATGTTATGTGAGTTTGTTATAAGAGATTGTGTGATGATAAAAATGTGTGTAAATGGACAAACCAGCAGGCTGAGCACACTGTAAAACATCTGAAATGATGTTTTGGTCATTCCAAAGCGTCTTAACCATCTCAGTATTAGTGTTATTATTAATCACGTCCAGAACTGTCTAGAGTCTCTGTGCTCCATGTCTCATGTCTTTAAGTGCCACTACGCGTTTATTAACTTTGACTTGTTGGATGGAAACGCTGCGGAATTCGCACGTCTTTTATGTGATATTCCAGTTTTAATTAAAAACTAAAAAGTTAATTTGCATTTTTGTATGGAAACATAACTTTTTTTCTTCTTTTTCTTGTTAATTTTCTTTTCTTCTTTCTTTTTTCTTCCTTTTCTTCTTTTTTTCTTTTATCTTCTTTTTCTTGTTGATTTTCTTCTTCTTCTTCTTCTTTTTCTCCTTTTTCTTTTTTCTCATTTTTTGTTTATTTTCTTTTTTCTCCTTTTTTTCTTTTTCTTTATCATCTTTTTCTTTTTTCTTCTTTTTCTTGTTATTTTTCATTTTCTTCTTTCTTGTTCTTTTTCTTTTTGCTTTTTTTGTTCTTTCTAGTTCTTTTTCATTTTCATTTTCTTCTTTTTCTTGTTCTTTTCTTTGTTCTTTTTCTGTTTCTTTTTTTACTTCTTTTATCTTTTTCTTCTTTTTTCTTCTTTTCTTGTTCTGTTTTCTTTTTCTTCTTTTTTTCTAGTTGTTTTTGTTCTTTTTCTTTTAGTTCTTTTTTTGTTCTTTTTCTTTTTTTCTTTTTCATTTTCACTTTCTTTCTTCTTTTTCTAATTTATTGGTTGTTTTTCTTCTTGGTCGTGTTCTTTTTCTTTATAGTTTTTCTTTTTCTTTTTCTATGTTTTCCTTTTTCAATTTTTTCATGTTTTTTTCATCTTTTTCTTTTTTCTTCTTTTTCCTTTTTTATGTTTTTGTCTTCTTTTTCTTTTTCAGTTTCTTCTTTAAATTTTTTTTGTTCTTTTTCTAATTTATTTCTTCATTTTATTTATGTTCTTTTTCAGTTTTTTCTTTTCCAATATTTTCTTGGTCTTTTTTTTCTAGTTCTTATTCTTTTTCTTCCATTTTCTTCTTTTTCTTTTATTGTTTTCCTCGTTTTCTTTTTCTTCTTTTTCTTTTTTTCTTCTTTTTCTTTTTCTGTTTTTTTCTTATTTTTCTGTTTCTTCTTTTTCGTTTTCTTCTTTTAAATTTTCTTCATTTTCTTGTCCTTTTCTTTTTTTCATTTTTTCTTTTCTGCTTTTTTTCTTTTTTTTCCTAATCTTTTTCTTCTAGTTCTTGTTCATTTTCTTCCTATTTTTTTCTTTTTCTTGTTGTAGTATTTTTTCCCTTTTCTTTTTCTTTTTTTTCTTCCTTCATCATTTTCTTTTGTCTTTTTATCTTTTATTATTTTTTCTTCTTTTTCTTCTTCTATTTTGTGTCTGGGTATTGTCACAACTAAAATTGCTTTAAATATTAATCATTATTTCTGTTCATAAATTGATCTCTAATTTGCACTCCACTGTACAGTATACATTTGCTCTATATTATGCTGATTAATATCTACCCATTGTGTTTTGTTTTTTAACAGGTATGCGTCTCATCTTAGACTGCAAGGCTTTTTTCGGCTACAGCGGTGATTCCAAACCGATCATCTACTGGATGAAGGGGGATAAGTTTGTAGAGGAGCTGGAAGGACACATAAGAGAGAGTGAAGTCAGGTAATGTTTTCTAGGCTTTATATCTGTTACTTCTTGAATTAAGAGCAATACACTATAAATAGGTAGAACATGCATGACTTCACAGTGCTGAAAGTGAAGAACAGACTGTGATTATATAATAGCACACTGACAACCTACAGGAAAACAGGTGTGACAGCAAACATGAAGATTACTGGGGACACAGAGACCTCTAGTGGACAAGTGTGCAAAAACAGGTTATTTATATAGAACACAACAGAAATAACTTTTGAAGATTTCATTAGCAAAAATAGATTTCTTTAATTTTTCTTTAGAATATTTCAAGTTTTTGCAACTACTAAAAAGCTCTAGTTAATTTCCATAAATCATCTGTTTTGCAATTTATGACATAACATGGTGTCTAAAAAGACTAAATTTGAGTCATGCTTTTGCAAATTAACAGTTGTGTAAACTCTGTGTGTTTTAAATATTCGCTGTGTATTCTCTTGTATAAACTGTGTATTCTGGAATAGAATAGAATAGAATAGAATAGAATAGAATAGAATAGAATAGAATAGAATAGAATAGAATAGAATAGAATAGAATAGAATAGAATAGAATTATTGATTGGGGTGGTGGACTTTTTGTACAGCAATACAGAATATATGGGACAGAGTGTTCATATGAGTATTTATAAATTATTGTTTGCAATGCAGTAAAGTATGCCATGACAAATCAATAAACAGTAATAATATGCATTAGGGTGCAGTGCAGTGCATACCTGAGATGTAGTGAGCACAGGTTATAGAAGGATGGTGGTATGTTGGTGGTTAGTTTCTTTATTTATTTATGGGATATAAAATATCTATCTATATAATAAATATCTATCTAAAATATCAGTTTATACATTCATTCATTCATTTTCTTGTCGGCTTAGTCCCTTTATTAATCTGGGGTCACCACAGCCAAATTAACTGCCATCTTATCCAGCACATTAATACACGGCGGATGCTCTTCCAGCCGCAACCCATCTCTGGGAAACATCCACAAACACTCATTCACACACACTCATACACTACGAACAATTTAGCCTACCCAATTCACCTGTACCGCATGTCTTTGGACTATGGGGGAAACCGGAGCACCCAGAGGAAACCTACGCGAATGCAGGGAGAACATGCAAACTCCACACAGAAACACCAAATGAGCCGAAGATCGACCCAGCGACCTTTTTGCTGTGAAGCAACAGTATTACCTACTGTGCCACTGCTTCGCCTAATATCAATTTATGTGGTATAAAATACTACACAATTACAAATAATTTAAAAAAACATCTGTCAGTTTCAGATGTTGTTCTTGATTTGTATATTGCATGTTCAGTTTATGTATGCATGAGTATTAAATATACATAAAAGCAATGACAGATTACATTTATGTGCATAATGTTTTTTTTTGTTTTATTTTTTTTACATGATTTTATTTTATTTTAATTGATTTTATTTATTTTTTTATTTTTTGGTTTTAGTTTATTTTATTTTGTTTTATTTAAATTTTATTTCTTTATTTTTTAAAATTTATTCTTTTTTTATTTTATTTTGTTTTATTTATGGTTTATTTTATGGACATTTTGGCATGAAATAAACTGATCTTTTACTTACTGTTATAATTTTACAGTGTATATTATTATTATTATAACATTTTTATACATATGGCTTCACATAAGGGAAAACCTGTTCTTTAATACATAATAATCATTTGTTTCCTTACAACATTTTTTTTTTAATTTAACACTAAAAGCGGTACTTGAGGTTTACTTTGTGAAGTAATGACATATGTCCACAAAACTATAAATAAATTACAAATGTTACTTATCGCAATACTCTAAATACAGTTTCCTACATTTAGACAAATTATTCAAAAACAACAGCTAGTTGTGTTTCATCAGGAGAAATAAATACATTCAAAATGTACACTCACTGACAATTTTGTTAGGTACACCTGTCCAACTGCTCATTAACTCAAATCAAATCTAATCAGCCAATCACATGGCAGCAACTCAATGCATTAAGGCATGTAGACATAGTCAAGACGATCTGCTGCGGTTCAAATTGAGCATCAGAATGAGGAAGAAAGGGAATTTAAGGTTTACAGAAAATGGTCCAAAAAAGAGAAAATATCCAGCAAGTGGCAGTTTTGTGGGCGGAATGTTGATGCCAGATTTCAGAGGATAATGGTCAGACTTGCTCAATCTGATAAAAAGGCAAATAACCACTCGATACAAGGTATACAGAAGAGCATCTCTGAACACACAACACATTAAACCTTGAGACAGATGGACTACAGCAGCAGAAGACCACACCGGGTGCCACTCCAGTCAGCTAAGAACAGGAAACTAAGGCTACAATTCGCACAGGCTCATCAAAATTGGACCATAGAAGATTGGAAAAACGTCTGGTCTGATGAGTCTCGATTTCTGCTGCAACATTTGGATGGTAGGGTCAGAATTTGGCTTCAACAACATGAAAGCATTGATTCATCCTGCCTTGTATCAATGGTTGAGGCTGGTGGTGGTGTAATGGTGTGGGAGATATTGTCTTGGCACACCTTGGGCCCATTGAGCATCGTGGTTCTAATTGAGCATTGTGACAACGCCACAGCCTACCTGAGTGTTGTTGCTGACCATGTTCATCCTTTTATGACCACAGTGTACCCATCTTCTGATGGCTACTTTCAGTAAGATAATGCACAGTTTGATAATGCGCCATTTGATAAAGTGCCAATCATCTCAGGGTGCTTTCACACCTGTGAATCGATTCAGTTGTTCCGAAACAGAGATTAAAGTTGTTACATTGTTGCTCTTTGCTCTTGGAGCGGTTCGCTTTCACACTGCAAAGTTTCTAATCGGACCAAAAGAGCTAAAACAAGTCACGTGCGAGTAAACTCTCCTCACATTGGTCAGAGTGTCAGGGTTTACTTTGCAGCGTCCCGCTCAGCTGTCAGGAGGTGGTGGTTTGGTGGTGATTGACAGGGTGCGCGCGCGTGACGTGTCTGAGGAGAGATGCGGTGGGGAGGGGTGAGAAGGGTGCGCGACGATGCCTATTTGAGGACTGGGAGAGAGACGCGAGATTACCGGGAGATCATCACTTGTTTGCGGGCATCCGGAGACTCGCGAAACTTCCCGCCCTACTCATAATTCTCTCTTCATGTAGCCGTAAGCTTATTACATATCCATAAAACACTGTAATATAACCGCACTCGGATCGGATCGCTTTCTCACTGCAATCGAACCGCTCCAGGGTTCGTTTCAATCGAACCGAGACCACCTCACTCAAGCGATCTCGGAGCGATTACTTTGGCGCGGAACAGAGCGCGATTGCCCTGTTCACATATGCCAATCGAACGGCGCTAACTGGGCAAACGAGATACGTTCCGAAACAAAATTGTAGGTGTGAAAGCACCCTCAGACTGGTTTCTTGAACATGACAATTGAACATGTACATACAAGTTCACTGTACTCAAATGGCCTCCATAGTCACCAGAACTCAATTCAATAGAGCACCTTTGGGATGTGGTGGAACGGGGGATTCGCATCATGAATATGCAGCTGACAAACCTGCAGCAACTGCGTGATGCTGTCATGTCAATATGGACCAAAATCTCTGAGGAATATTTCCAGTACTTTGTTTAATCTATGCCACGAATAATAAAAGCAGTTCTGAATGCAAAAGCATAAGGTGTACCCAACAAAGTGGTAAAGTACCTAAAACATTTTATGTAGTTACATTACAAAACACAAGATGTTTGAATGAAGAGCTATAGTTCCACAAATTGTGTTTAATCAATATAAAAATGTAACTATATATGTAATGAATTTATGAGGGTTGCACTCCTTAAGAGAAAATTATATAGAGACAATGGGAGAAACACTAATCACTACAATGATGAGTTGAAATGTTACAGCTTTTACCAAAAAACCTTCCAAAAAATTTTAACATTTAGTTAAAACATATACTACCTAAATAATCTTTGTATTTTATACATTCAGCATTTAATTTACCTTTGAAATTTTAACTTAGATTTTATTGTATATTTATTTTTACGGTATAGGTGGAAATATGAGTGTGAGTACTGTGTTAGACTAATTGTTAACCCAGCACACTTCTCCGCCTTCAATCCACAGCACCTTCTGACCTTACAGAGGACGAGCTGCTGTGAGAATGATTGGATGGAAGCGTTTTTGTCAAGTGACCTCCCAGCTGTTGGGAGGAAGCTGCTTTTGAGTTTTTGTTGCATGAACTGGATGGACCTTAAAGTCATGTTAATAATGCATGTTAGTTGTAGAGCAATGACACAGAAAAAAGCAGTTTCAAAGATCAATGTGGCTTTGTTGACAATTTTATGTGTTTTCAATGCTGTCAAAGCTGCCATACGATGCACTGATGCATGATGTTTATGTCCGAGTTTCTGTTGTTTTCTGAGGATGTCAATTTGGATCCTTTGCTATGTGTTTCTGATCGAGAGATTTATGTTGTCATTTTATAGTGTTGCTGATGCTGCATACTTTTTTTTTCTCCTCACCTCTGTGAAAATAACATCTGGAACACCCCTCCAGAGCAAATCGATCAACCCTGACGTAAAGGTGTCATAGAGTGCATTGATTCAATATGTAAAACCATTCTCTGATATCTAAATAGTAGGTATGTGGCTTAAGAAACGGTTTTGTATGCTCATTCATAACCAAAGGAATTACCCCTAGAATGAAATGCTCGGTTTTGACCATATTTGGATGGATAATTAATGATGTCTGATAATGTTCTGCAGCTAGTGTCAGTGTCTGATACTTAAACACACATACAGTGTAATGATGGGGTTGACAACCTGGGTTAGGATCCAAATGTAGCTTTAATAGACAGTTAAGCAGGCAAGGTTTGATACAGGAGCAGACAGTTTCAGGTAAAGGGGCGGGGTAGCCAGGAAAACAAACATAAACAATAAATACAAAGGATAAAAATATGGCAATGCTGGGAAAACGCTTATAAAAT